ATTAATTGAAACTTTAAAATCCTAGTTTGGTTCTAACAGTTAAATTATTAACTACACCAATCAGCTCCAACATTAACATTAGGTATTGTGTGCACACAGCTTCTTTAAACCAGGGTCCTTCATATAATATTTGTAGCTGTTTCAAAGAGCCCGCTACGATCAGCAGATACAAATGGTCTGCAACTATGTTTAGGCAGAGGTTGAAGTAACACCCACATAAATGCAAGGACTTGCTTCATTCAGGCTGCCTTTTTACACAGTAAATCCTTTTGCTTTTTCTGATAACATTACTCATGGGGCCAGGCCGCCTTCTTCCAATGCCTCCCCTGTGGACAGGGGTCGACATGACCAGCTCTGTAGTGTGGCAACAGCCTGCCCTCTTTCTGTCACGGCCTGCACTGAACTTTTTAATAATGTAGCCCAGTAAGACCCACCATGTTCACAGGCTGTGACACAGTCATATAGCCACCTCAAGCTGGATCATGTCAGTCCCTCAGATCCACATTGCCATCAACAGCTGACAGTTCACTTGCTGCCAAATATATCTCAACCCTAACAGGTGGCACTGTAGCGATATGCAATTCCCTTCGCCTGTCAGTGGTTATAATGTTGTGTCTGATTGGTGCATTACTCAAAAGCAGAATGATTTGCCAGCTGTCCCTTCTGGCTGCTCATTATAATTACATAAGCTCGACCCTGGAGTCTGTGGCGGCGAGGCTTCAAAAGTGGAAGTTCAGTGCGCAGTTTGAAGTTAAGCCTTTGCAAGTTAAATAACAACTAGACTTCATTTCAGCCATTTTTTACTTGCCTTTCTTATGAGGCTAGAAATAATTCTGAAGCAGTCACGCTTAACAAGGTGACACCAGTATTATTAAGGAACTTTACTGATGCCTCGTATTAATTAATATTCGTGTTACGTTGTTGACTGTTTCAGAATAGCTATACTTTTTAGTGTTAGCCAGTTAACATGCCAGTTATATCGCCGCCTGTTAAGATCCACACACCCTGCTGGTTCTCTGCTCGAGGTGTTAACCGTTACCTGTGCGCGTGTGCTGCAGGCATCGATTCACACATCAAAAAGGGTGACGCTTTGCGACACAGCTGGAGTTTACATGAAAGGTGTTATAAATGGAATATTTCACATAATACCAGACTTTTCCTGTAGTTCTCCTGCAAAGGATATATTTACGAAACAGTGTGAAGTCATTGTTTGTAGCTGTTTGCAAGCTGCATGTCTGGATATACAGGATGACTGTAAATACTAAGTTGAATAAACTTATTATAATTTGTCCTTTTCCCCCAGATCAGATAACAAAGTAACAATTTGTTACAGCTCAGTAATAACGTAGTAACATTCCCTTTTAATTACCCCACTGAAGATGTAAGTGTATCCAAATAATAATTTTGTATCAAGAGTTGTTATAGCTGAGTGATATTACATTGAAATTATGTTATTGGGTAAACACGTGCCCCAAGTGGAGGAGTTTAAGTATCTTGGGATCTTGTTCACGACTGACGGGAGAAAGGAGCGGGAGATCTACAGACGGTTTGGTGCTGCAGCTGCAGTGATGTAGACGCTGCACCGGTCTGTTGTGGTGAAGAGAGAGCTGAGTGTAAAAGCAAAGCCCTCAATTTACCAGTCGATCTACGTCCCTACAATCACCTATGGTCACAAGCTGTGGGTAGTGACCGAAAGAACGAAACTGCGGTTACAAGCGAAAGAAATGGGCTTCCTCCGAAGGGTGGCTGGCCTCTCCCTTAGAGATAGGGTAAGAAGTTCGGCCATCCGGGAAGGGTCAGATTGAGCTGCTGCTCCTCCACATCGAAAGGAGCCAGCTGAGGTGGTTCGGGGATTTGATAAGGATGCCTCCTTGGTGAGGTGTCCCGGGCATGTCCCACTGGGAGGAGGCCCCGGGGCAGACCCAGGACACGCTGGAGAGATTATATCTCTCGGCTGGCCTGGGAACGCCTTGGTGTTCCCCCGGACAAGCTGGAGGAGGTGGTGGCTGGGGAGAGGGAGGTTTGGGCTTCTGTGCTTAGGCTGCTGCCCCCACTACCCGGCCCAGTTAAGAGGAAGAAGATGGATGGATGGGTAATAACATTCAAGAAACCCGGGGTAAATATAGTAAAACAATGTGCTGGTTACAAAATAATAACCTACTAGCAATAAAATTGCAATATCTGTGCATTACAATATATTTGTATTCTGATACTATATATTTTAATATATTTATATTCTAATATTTATATTATGACTTGTGGCAGTAAGTAGTAATAAGGTGATATTTAATATTGGTTAATGCTTTGACATATGAGGATGGATACCATATTATAATTTCCAGGCTTGAATAACAATATATAAGATTTTGATTTGTGTATATCACAGCTGAGCTCCACATGTCAACTATTCAGTAATTTATTACTCAGTTTAATTTACATTTAAGTACCATTAGTGTTGGCTGACCAGTCTAAAAACATAATGGTTTAGATTGTAATTTAGTCTGACTGTAACTAACAACACACAGATAAAACACAAAGGTGTTAACAAAGTAAAGCGTAGAGGATAAAAGAGAGAGGTCCTTACACAATGTCGTTGAGCTCCAGCATGGTGTCAGGAGGAGGATTGATGAGGACGTAGGACAGCGTGTTCTGGTGGTCGTTCATCTCATCTGTAGAAACAGACAGAGATGGCCTTCAGTGCTGCTCTGGAGCCCTCTCTCGTCCCCCTCCATTATACAGAACATCAACCAGGAAATGAGCCTTTTATCCATTTAAAATATGACACTGCCTTGTTTTCAGCCTTTCAGTCAGGACAAAAGTAAAGTAAAAACTTAACGAGCAAGTGGTGCAAAAAATCGGAGGCAAATAACTGCGGGAATAATTTGAGGGTTCCTTGTTACAACTGCTAATGATCATTTAAATCTTAATATGAGGAAACAAATGATCTTATTAAACACATTTAGCATGAATAAAGCCTGTCATTAAGTAATGTAAAGCCTGTATTTAAATGGGATTAGAAAAAAGAACATACAAACTCCAGAATCTGACATTTTTACACGGTCATTTTAAATAGCTGGAGCAAGGGCAGCTTTACCACACTTATACAAACTCTGTGAGTGGAGGGCAGTCGCAGTTTTTAAATGTAAATGTTTTCACATAATCAGTTTATACAGGATGTCTTTTATTCTATTTTTTATCATTAATGCAAAATGTTTTCAATGGGTGACTGATCTGGGCTCATCATTCAGTTCTTCCTTTTTTAAACATTTTACACAGTATTCAAAGTTCTTATGGTTTGTATATTTTAAAGATGTATAATAAAATTTGACTAGCAAAAGAGTTTTGAAAGCCTTTAGAGTCCAGTTTGCCATGTTCACCAATTTCTTGTAGAAGAAATCAATCCTGCATATATTCTCTACCTTTAACTAGTTCCTTAACCAGGATGTAAATGACGTGGGCTCAAGATTCATAACAATTCACAGGTTACTGCACGTAAAACGACCAATGTTACCTCGACCTTGATCACAGTTTGGGTGAGGACCCATTAAGCGATCAGTGTGTGCAAGTTTGATTAGATTCTGATGAGTACTGCAGGGGAAGTACCAGACGTTGACAACTGGGGACGAGCATGGATTCACTTTAATAGTTAAACAATTGTTCCAGTCTGCAACAAGCTAATTGAACAATAAATCAACCATGTGATTATAAATTACTGTTAGAAAATTTAATATTTCACAAAATATTAAACTGATTTAGAAAATCTTATTATTTTTATTTGAAAAGCATTTTAATTTGTTTTCAAATTTAAACTTAAAGATACTTAAAGATCACTTAAGTATTCACTTAAAGATACTCATAAATTGCTAAATTCCCTCATTCAGTCCTTTACATCCTGTTATAAACACTAAAAACATTAACAGTTGTAACAAACATCTTTTATTGCTTCAACAACACAGTTAGGCCAAGGAAATTGTTCTGCACTATGAAGAGTTTAGATTTTATGAGAGGAAACCTATGAGAGTTTAACCTTTATTTTTCCAGATGAGTCATA